CACACAGGCCCTCCGCCCCCCGCCACCACACACATCCGGGTCCCCGCCCTTCCTATGCTCCCCCGAGGCCCGCCCCTCCTTACCCACTCCGACCAATCTGCAGTGGCCTCTGACGACGGGCACCTGAAACAGCCAATAGGAGGATGCAGGCAGGATGTGGGGCGCGGTCCGGTGCACCGGGTACCTAACTGGGTTGGGTCTAGCAACGCCGAGTGTCTGCGGGGTGGGCGGAGGCGACGTGGCGGTGCGGACGCCGTGCTGGGTGGCCTGGGCGCGGGGGAAGCGGTTAAAGGGCGGCTCCTGCGCTGACCTGCGCTGGGCTAGGCTGGGCTGGGCTGAGACGGTAAGGCGGGGCTGGCGGAGGAGGTCGTCACGCTGCCCTAGCACTACATTTCTTGAGCGCTCATCCTATGCTAGACGTGATGCTAAAAGCTTTACAAGAATATTCTTTAGTGTATTCGACGACCTTATGAAATAAATTCTGTAAAAATCTCCTTTTTACAGATGAGGACCCATAAGCTGGCCTCCACTGCCGGTGCGCTTACCTGTTGCCATATGCTCTCCCGAGCTCCATTTCATGGCACCGTTAGTTCATTCTGGGAAGGACCTTCCATTCTGGGGGAGAGAACTTTGGATGTGAAAAAACCATAATGGCATGACACAGCATGGTGTTCACGAACAGAGGACTTCGGTAGGACTAAGGACAGTGAGGCTTCAGCCAGTAGCTGAAGGGAGGAAGGACACTAACGTTTACTGAGCATCTACTACTGGGCATTTATTGCCGTCTGGGAAGTTTGGGCTCCTTGATGAGGACCTCCCCAATTTCCTGCCATTACTAAGCCTCTCCTTTCCAGACAGAATTTCTCCTCTTCTGACACCTTATGATAACACATTACTGTATTACTTTATTTTATTTTATTTTTTTGAAGTTGACCAGACAGAGAGAGAAGGAAAGTGAGAAAGCAAGTTGCCAGGTCTGGGACTTGAACCGTGGTCAGCCATGTGAGAATCCAGCCACCTTAACCACCACTCCACCTAGAAACTCCCAGTTTTGCTTCTTTAAATGAAAGTCACTTTTGTATGTAGATCTGTCTCTCCTAGGTGGTGAGCTCCTTCCTAGGGCCTATCCTATTCTTATTTATTTATATTTTTTGAGAGGTTTTTATTTTATTTTATTTTATTTTATTTTATTTTTTGGAGAGATTTTTGCTATAGGGCGCGTGTGCTCACCAGACAGACAGAGAGAGACATAGAGACAGAAAGCGAGAAATCACCCCCCAGGGGGAATGGTCACGCCGCAATCCCTTCTCCTCCATTCTCCTCTTGGGGATCTTGGGCATGCACACACACACCCCCAGCGTGAGTTTTAAGCCACCAGGTCCGGGATTCGAACCGCAGCAGTCGACTACGTGGGAGTCCAGCGACATAGCCGTTATGCTAACTGCTGGTTCCCTTGAGAGGTTTTTGAGAGCGTGTGTGCTCACTTGAGAGAGACAGAGAGACAGAAAGTGAGAAATCACTGCCTGGAGGTATGTCCACGCCGCAATCCCTTCTCCTCCATTATCCTCTTGGGATCTTGGGCACGCACGCACACGCGCCCGGCATGAGTTTAAGCCACTGGGTCTGGGACTCGAACTGCAGTCGACTACATGGGAGTCCAGTGACATAGCCATTACGCTAACTGCTGTTTCCACTATCCTATTCTTATTTTAAGTAAGTACTCTTTTTTTTTTTTTTTTAAGGTTTTTGCCAAAGGGAACATGTGCTTCAGCACTGGAGAGAGAGAGAGAGACAGTGAGAAGGAAAGTGAGAAATCACCCCTTGCGGGGGGATGGCCACGCTGCAATCCCTTCTCCTCCATTCTCCTATCTGGATTTTGGGCATGCCCGGCGTGATTGTCAAGCCACCATGAGTGAGACTCAAACCGTGGTCAGCCATGTGGGAATCCAGTGCCTTAACCACTGAGCCACCTGCTGGCACCCTCTAAAGTATTTTGACGAAAAGGAGACCCTCATCTCATATACCACAAATAGCAGCCCGATGGCATAATGGAAATGAATGGTACAAATAGGAGTAGGAGACAGCTGGATTGTAGTCCCAGTTCTGTGCGACCTCAAGGTCTCTGTCGTCCATAAACAAGGCTTATTGAAGAGTGAGTTCCTTAGCTCCTTTCCAGCCCCTGGATAACACCGTTCTGACCAACCTTCCCCAACTCGCCTCTGCTTCTTTCATTGCTTCTCTTCCTGAGTTATGAAAGGACCTCAAGAATCAGCTCAGCTCCTCCCAAAGGCAGCCAGAAAGGGACTGGTCTGGACTGCTCCTGGGGTCGTGCCCATCTCACACCAGAGTCCTTCCAAAACTAACTTAGCTGGTTAGAGCCTGAAATGGAGGTAGATGCAGAAGGAGGTGTTTCCAAAGTGTTTTTGGTCATTGGCGATTCCATGCAGGACTTCCTCATCTTTTTTTTTTTTTTTTTTTTTGGAGACGTTTTTGCTATAGGGCGCATGCGCTCGCCAGAAAGACAGAGAGAGACAGAGAGACAGAAAGTGAGAAATCACCCCCGAGGGGGGATGGACACACCGCAATCCTCACTTCTCCTCCGTTCTCCTCTCGGGATCTTGGGCACGCACGCACACATGCCCAGCGTGAGTTTTAAGCCACCAGGTCCAGGCCGCAAACCGCGGTCAACTACGTGGGAGTCCAGCGACATAGCCATTATGCTAACTGCTGGTTCCCTCATCTTCAAGCTCCAGATAGGGGACTGGTCCTTTTAGTGAATGCAACATCCGTTGGTGTTCTTAGGACCTAACTGGTAATTTATACTTAGCACCTACATGTATTTGATTAAACAGCTTTACTGAGGTATCAGTGACATACAATAAACTGTACAATTAAGCTATACCATTTTAAAGGAATTATTCATTTAATTTTATTTATTATTTCTTGAGTTTGCTCTAGGGCATATGCACTCACCAGAGAGAGACACACACAGAGAGGGAAAGTGAGGAAGCAAGCCGCCGGGTCTGGGACTCGAAACACAGTTTGGCCATGTGGAAGTCCAGCACTTTAGCCACCATGTCACCTACTGGCCCTAAGGTATACCAGTTGATAAGTTATATACATATACACCTGTGAAAGTATCGCCACCATCAAGTCATGGCTGTACCATCATCACTCCCAAGCCGGGCTCTCTTAACCACTATCACTGATTTCTGTACATTGATTTCTGTATTTCCTTGATTTGATTTATGAGATTTAACTGGTATCTCCATACACTTATTCTGGTTATTTAATATCAAATTCTAGGCTCTCGGGCCAAGATTTTAGGCAGGAAAAGAAATACTTTCTATAACTAATTTTTTTTTTAGAGGTTTTTGCTATAGGGAGCGTGCACTCGCCAGAAAGACAGAGAGAGGGAGACAGAGAGATAGAAAGCGAGAAGTCACCCCGGGGGAATGGCCACACCGCAATCCCTTCTCCTCCATTCTCCTCTCGGGATCTTGGGCATGCACGCACACGCACCCAGCATGAGTTTAAGTCACCGGGTCCAGGACTCAAACTACGGTCAACTACATAGGAGTCCAGCAATATAGCCATTACGCTAACTGCTGGTCCCCCTATAACCAATTTTTTTAATAGCTCAAAAATCTTTTTTCAATAGCTGCCAGATACAGGTTCTGGGGGAAACAAATGACCTGCCCAAAAGGGTAGGAACCCAGCCTTCAGTCATCCCCAAGTTGCCTTTGGAAAGAGCCCAGACTTAGATTTGGGGGTATTCCTATAATTCAGGAAGAAGAAGAAGAGGAGTTTGGTCATTTCGTGCTTTTCCAGGGTTATCTTACCTGTGATTTTATTAACTCTTTTCTAATTTTAAAAACAATTTTAACTTTATGGCATTTCTCATGATAATACATTTCTTATATTTATCCACTAGCTCACCCTCAATGTAAGACAACCTTGTATTTGCCTTAAAAACAACCTCTCTCATGGGGCTGGTAGGAGGAGTGGCGGGTAAGGAGCTGGACTCCCACAGGGCTGAACTCAATTTGAGTCCTGGATCTGGCAGCTTGCTTTCTCACTCTCCCTCTCTGTCTGTCTCTCTCTGATCAATCTGAAGAATAAAAAATAATTCTTTAAAAAAAAAAAAACTTTCTCTTGTTCTAGAAATTACATATA